AAGTTGATATTTAAATTTGATAATTTTTAAAAGTACGCATTCAATTTCAGTGGTTTAGATTTGCAGTGGACAAGCAGTGGAAGGAAAACATAGTCGAGAGGAACCCACCCCATGCTTTTTATAGCATTTATATGTTTGAAGTTAAACTTATCCTTTCATCCTAATTTATAAAACATTTTTAATAAAATTGTGCATACTAATAAAATTTATTAAATTAGTTTATAATCCTAGTTTTTTTTATAAACTTTTAAAAGTACCTTTCATTAATAAGAGAGAAAATGAAAAAAATTAATTTAAAGAGTAAAATAGTGAGGTATAATATCAGAATATAATCATATCATTAATGAAATATTATTTTTTTCAAAACATCTTTTATTTCAAACATCAAATCACTTTAGAAAATATCTTATAAAATGAAGGGAGTATTCCTCTATCATTTCATTTTAGAAAATTTTGGCATCCCCAAATTACTTCCTCCTATCCTAATTATAAAACAATGTTAACCTTCACTGTTCCTTATGAATGGTAGTTAATATTCTTAAACTCGTAAAAATTACTTAATTTTTTCAATTTCACCCTCCACTAAAATTAATGGCAACAATAAAGTGAGCATCTAGGAATTATAACTAGGTGCAATTAAGAAGAAGTGAAACTAGAAAAAGAATTAACTATTATATTTTTATCATATATTTAGGACCAAATAAATTTTATAAAACTTTGCCTTATAATTAGGACAGGGAGAGAATACACTTTATCAGATATCGAATCTATATAAAAAGGACCTATATGTTAAAAAAAGTGGCTTATGGGATCACTTAAAAGGATGCCCCCTAGAATTATAGTACCCCTTGTCTACTATGGATCAATAGAACAAAAAAATAAAATAGAAGTACAATTTTAGTCCAAAAAGTGAAATTTTTACTCATCAATAAAGATCATTACAACTTCTTTGCTTTTATTTTCAGCATCAAGTCAAGTTTCTATTATGTGAATACATTGGCATTATTAATTTATGACAACAGTTCCATTAACATTGGTCTCATTACTTGAAGAAGATGATGGTGGCCATGGTCTAGGGCATTTGGGTGGCCCAACGACATTACAAGAAGCACCTTTCTCCATGCTACAAATACACGCGGTGTATGGATATCCGGCGTCTCGACAGTAGGCATGAACTTCGCCAACACCCCGATAACAAGGACGGCAAGTCTCCGTGCACTCCTTGATATTTGGGCAACCACCTCCAATTGTAGCAAGCTCACATGCATTCAACACTGAACATGAACAAAATTTTTCAATATATATGCCCATGTATGTTGGAATATTGTATGTGTGTCAGAGAAAGAGAAATAGGAAATGAGAAGGGGAAGAAAAGATGTGAGACAGAACCTGAAGTGAATGCAAGTAGGACAATAATTGGAGAGATTGGTGATGATATCTGGACTACCATTTTGATTTTTGAGGATGAAACTACAAGAGAGTATTCTATACTTGATATTTGGAAATTAGCATGTTATAGGAGATTTATAAGGAGTAGAATTTAATGCAGTGACATTTTAATTTTAATGTTATGGGAGATTATGCATTTAATAGCATTAATGGGAGAATCACAATAATCCAATTTGAATTTATGACAATAAATATTGACATAGGGGAGATAGTATTGGGCCCTTTAAATTGGAATCCCCCCCCCCCCCATAGAAAAAAAAAAACAACGAATAAAGAGTAATCACACGTGATAGTGGGGACCCTACTTGATGCCATTTACAAACTCTCTCTAGTTATAAAACAATTTTAATTTAATTAAACTCTTAATTATCTTTAATATTATGCACTCTTTTCATATTTATTTTTATTTAATACTCTCTCTAATCCTATTTATCAAATAGAAAGAAAATGTTATTAAAGTATATATATTTAATAGGTAAAGTTGAAAAATAATTAAATTTATAGATAGAGTTAATAAGGTTTAAAATTTTTCTTAATTTTAATAAAACATATTAAAAATACCTTGTAAATAGTACCAAAGGAATATAATGTTTCAATTAGAAAGCCTTATTAATCATTCCCTTGAGTCTCTATTACAAGACACTTTTAACTACTTTATTAGAACAAAAAAAGTGGTTAAATTATTAACTTTATCTAAAACTAGAATAAACTTTCAATTTTACTTCATTTTAATTATTTTAATTTTATTTGGAGTATGTATCATTTCTATTATACTTCAGAGCTTACTATTGTCTTTTAGATATTTAAGTAAGGTACTTTGTAACGTATATATGTATTAGTATAATTAAAAAAAGAGAAAACACTACTATTTTTTATTCCTATATTTTATTCAAGTTTTGTTATATGTCATTGTATTTTTTTTTTTTGGTCTTTCAATTTCCTATACCTTTTTTGTCTACAACTTTGATCCTTATAGTTTTAAAAGGATGTTGACATGGCACAAATAGTGTCAAGATTGCTGATGTGTTTAGTAACATTGTTATGTTCATATTGATGTGTTAAATAGTTGTTGAGTTGGACTTTTTAATAAGCAAAATAAATTTTTTAAAAATTATATAAGATAAAAAAAGGCTAATTTAGAGTTAAAAAAACTCTCAACTTAAAATATCTCAAAAATATTTAGAATATATTTTAATCTTAATTTTTAAACTTTAAGACCCACAATTTTTTTTTAAAAAAATTGAGTCTTCTACATTTTTTAAGTATACCAAAAATATATGTTTTATTTTTATAGTATAAAAATAATTAATTTTAAAGTAAAAATTGATTATTTTTTAAAAATAAAAATTTTAAGAATTTGGGTATTTAAGCAGGTTTGAATATGCCCAAAAAGGTTGGGGTCGAACTTGGTTATTTAAGCTTTTTTATAAGCTGGAGCTTATTTGGCCCATGCTAAAAAAATGTAAAAGACTCAATTTTTTTTAAAAAAATTTGGTTGCCTTACTGATTAAAAATTAATATTAAAATATGTTTAAAATATTTTTTTGAGATATTTTAAGTTGAAATTTTTTTTTAACTTCATGTTAGCCTTTTTTTTTATTTGATGTAGCTTTTTTAAAAATTTATTTTGCTTATCAAAAAGTCTAACTCAACACTCATTTAACACATCAGCACAAATTTAACGTTATTAGTGGACACGTTAGCAATCTTAATACCTTTTGTACTACATCAACATCCCTCTAAAATTATAAGAACTAATATTGTAAGCAAAAAAAAATATAAAAACTTAAAATATTAAAAAAAGTGCAAAAATGTATAATAAAATTTGAGTAAAATATAGAGACAAAAAATAATATTTTTAAAAAAAAAACTAAAAAAGTTATGCTGCCCTTAAGGCTTAACCCTCAGCCTTGTCAATTATGCGCAGGGCTTGAGAGAAAAAAGTGTTGAATTTAGGATGATGGGTCTCATAGGCTTAAGTCCTCAAGACCTGGCCAAGTTTATAAAGGGTCGAGCTGATACTTATTAACAGCTTCACGCTTGGACATTTTAGGGCTTTTAGGTAAATACAGTAGGGACTATATACATACTACCCAAGACTAGCTACCTTTGATAAGCGATCGAGCTGGCCGCGAAGCATATCTGAATCCAAGTTTGTCATTATGTAATTAAATTAAAGTTTCCATTTTTCTTCATTGTATATGCTGCTTCTCTTTACACACACACAAATTTGAGTTGGTATATATCCACAACTCAAACATCTTATGAAACGTGGCGAATGGAGTGTTCTAGTGTTACCTTGGACTCAGTACCAACAACGACAAATTCACACAATTAAATTTCCTTGTCCCTTATGAACTATATGTAGCTAGCCATATATTAGCTCAATATTCATGGTGCCACTTCTCATCCTTATCTTATCAAAATATATTATTTTTTAACACATGTCAATCATATTAAAATTAAAAGTGATTCATATATATTCTTTTTATTAAAAAATATAAGGTATTTTTAACTGAATTTCACCCTCTAATAAAATAATTACCTACTTTTAAACTAACTCTATCCTTCCATATTTACCCCCTCTTAAACACCCTATAATATATATAAATCATTATCAATAGGGGTACCTTTTAAAAAAAAGTAATGATTACACATCAAAAGATTAAAAATGTCTTATATTTTTTAACATCCAACTCCTCAAAAAATATTTTATATTTTTTAATAGAGGGAGTATAGTTTAATAATTTGACTCTAATTAATAAAATTAGACCTCAAGCTTATATATATATATATATAAATATATTCTGTCACCGAAACTGTAGTCTCTCTGCATGATAATAATTATCATTCTTCAATAAACTTCACATGCTTTTACAACTTTATTTCACATCAAATAGAACCTAATGGAAAAATTCATTAACTTCATCATTATATTTTCCCTCCATATTTTTAGTTGGGCCCTACCATAGTACATACCCCACATCCTTATGCAACTCTTGAATGCATTAGGATAAGGATATATACGAGCAATACAAGATGATAACTTGTAATTACAGTGTTACCATATATTTCAATGCTCCCCACTAGTAAATAAATGTTATTTTAGTTGGTAATGATTTAATTGGATAATTTATAAAATTGTGGAGTCAAATAATGTTGTCAACATGAGAATCTTATTAGTAGGCTATCTAAGTATCTTTTTAAACTTTGATACATGCCTTGACCTTAATAAACTTACGAGATCTAACTTCACCTAAATGTTGTCAATGAAAAAAAAAAAAACTGCCCACCAGCTTCACAACGTAGTATCATATTCAGTCTATGTTCAATGCATCATATCATTATCTTCACCTTTGTCTACCTCATGAAACACTCGTCACCTTGCATGCCACTTCAAGTCCACATGTCCTCCATGCATGAGAATTGAATCAAACCTCACACACGCGCGTAGTCCTTCCCTTCATGATCTGCTTCTATAAATACCAGACTTGTCATTCCCACATTTGCATCGATGAGTTTAAAGTTGTGATCGCTGACTGTTCACAACAATGGCTTCTTGTAGCACTTTGTTGCAAGCGAGGCTCCCTCTGTTGCTGTTTCTGGGTTCAGTTTTCCTGGCAATGGCCTCTGTCTCTGTCGGCCTTGCCTTCTGGGAAAACCAGAATCCCAAAAACCACCTCTGTGTCAAAAGCTGCGAACTTGAAAATGGTGCTGCTTATCGCAAGTTTGCTTGCCGCTCTCGTTGCAGGATGATCAATGAGATAGAAAGTGGACGTGATCCACAGGTAAGACTGTATATCTATCTATTCATGTATTAGTGCAATGAATTTGTGACTTTTGATGACTCAGTAAAGTAATATAGCAAACCAAAATGATATTATACATATATGTATATATATCGTCAGGAACAAGAACAAGGTCAACGCGAGCGGGAACGCGGACGTGATCCACAGGTAAGAGTGTGTGTGTGTATATCTATTCATGTTTTAGTATTTAGTACAACGAATTTGTGACTTTTGATGAGTCAGTGAAATGATTTTGTGAACGATTAAAATGTAATTTTACCTTTAAATTACAGGACCACGAAACTCATATATTTTTAATATAATATTCTTTTTCAATTTTTAAAAATGAGTGTAATGTTACATTTTCCGCTAATAAAAATAAATTTTACTGTTATTTGTCAGAAAATTATAAAAAGAATTCAAAAATTACAAAAAATGATTGAAAAGATTTTTGTAGTGCTTTTCTTTTCTTTTTATCAATTTATTAATAATAGAAATAATAATACATTGTTCTTATTGTGAAAAAATATTATATAAAAAATAAGGTTAAAATCTAAAACATTTTTGTACCTATACTTCTTAAGACAATTTGTCATTTAATCCTATAATATATTAAGATATTAATGCCAAATACATATATATGGTCAGGAACGAGGACAAGGTCAACGAGAGAAGGCGCGAGAACAAGAACGGCGAGAACGTGAGGAGGAAAGGAGGCAACGAGAGGAACGACGTCGTCAAGAACAAGAAGAGGAACAACGACAACGTGAAGAGCAGAGAAGAGAGCGCGAAGATGAGAGACGACGTCGTCGCCAGGGAGACGACGATGACGACGAAGAGGGCCGTGAGCAGGAAGAAGAAGGACGACAAGGTCAACGAGAACGGCGAGAACGTGAGGAGGAAAGGAGACGGCGAGATGAACGACGTCGTCAAGAACGAGAAGAGGAACAACGACAACGTGAAGAGCAGAGAAGAGAGCGCGAAGATGAGAGACGACGTCGTCGCCAGGGAGACGATGACGATGACGACGACGACGACGAAGAGGGCCGTGATCAGGAAGAAGAAGGACGACAAGGTCAACGAGAACGAGATCGGCGAGAACGTGAGGAGGAAAGGAGACGGCGAGATGAACGACGTCGTCAAGAACGAGAAGAGGAACAGAGACAACGTGGAGAGCAGAGAAGAGAACGCGAAGATGAGAGACGAAGTCGTCGCAAGGGAGACGACAACGACGACGAAGAAAGCCGTGAGCAGGAAGAAAGACGACAAGGTCAACGAGAAAAAGATCGGCGAGAACGTGAGGAGGAGAGGAGGCGGCGAGATGAAAGACGTCGTCAAGAACGAGAAGAGGAACAACGACAACGTGAACAGCAGAGAAGAGAGCGCGAAGATGAGAGACGACGTCGTCGCGAGGGAGACGAAGAGGGCCCAGAATCACATCGTCGTGAGCAGGAAGAAGAAGAACAAGAACAAGAAGAAGAGCTAGAAAGACGAGGTTCACAGAACCAGAATCCTTACCATTTCCGATCTGGAAGCTTCCAAACTCGCTTCCAGAACCAACATGGCAGCATCCGAATCCTCCCAAGGTTCGACAAGAAATCCAACCACCTTCGAGGTCTCCGAAACTATCGATACGTGGAATACGCGTTACGACCAAATTCTCTCTTCATCCCCCATCATCGCGATGCTGAAGCTCTCTTGATCGCGGTCGAAGGCAAGTTTGATAATCCTCGTTCATACATGATATTGGAAGATAAATATTCTTATTAATTGATGATTAATTATGCATGATTATTACAGGAAAGGCCATTACTACTATTGTGAACCAGACTAATAGAGAGACCCACCACGTGGAGCAAGGTGACGTGCTGAGGATCCCACCAGGGTCACTTGTTTATACTGCTAATATTGAAAACAGGAGGTTCAGAGCTGCTAGTCTTATCCTTCCCACCAACATTCCTGGGCAATACGAGGTCATCGATCAATTTTTCAGACATCGATTATATTCAATCCATCAAGTTCTGATCTTTGCCAACAGAAATCTCATGGTGTGTGTTTGGTTTAATTAATTTCCTTCTGCAGAATTTGTATCCCTCTGGCAATCAAAACCCTCAGTCTTACTATAAGGCCTTCAGCAAGAAAACTCTCGAGGCCACCTTCGACGTGAGAGCCCAATCAACATTATCATCATCATTATAAATTATTAGTTAACTTCCATTTGTGTTCTAATTAATTTACGGTGTAATGTTTTGAAACAGAGGGAGTACAATGAGATTCAAAGGGTCCTACTCAGACAGCAAGAACAGAGTTCAGAAGAGGGAGTGATGGTGCAGCTATCGAGTGAACAAGCAAGAGAACTGAGAAAACAAGCCGAATCATCATCGTCGAGCCCAAGAAGAAGGAGGCATTCAAGTTCATCATCATCTTGCATATTGAACTTGAGAAACCTTCAACCTCGTTACTCCAACGACAATGGTAAATTGTGGGAAGCTCGCCCTGAGGAAATCAACCTTCTTCAAGACTTGGAAATCTCCGTCGTTTGGCTAGAACTCAAAAGGGTAATTATATACTAAACCATGCTTTATTCAACATTATTATGCACAAATAATATACATATAAGTTCATTTTGTGTTGAATAATGTTGTCTCTAGGGATCTTTGTTTCTACCACACTACAACACAAAGGCCATAGTGGTAGGCCAAATTATTGATGGAACATCAAGACTTGAAATCGCATCTCCATATCTGGCTAATAACCAAAGATCAGAAGAACAAGAACAAGATCAAGAGAGAGAGCGAGAGCAAGAGCAAGAACAGCAGCAGCAAGATGAAGAACGAAGAGAGGGACAGATTCAGAGGGTTTCTTCGAAGCTGCATCAAGGTGATGTTTTCCTAGCCCTTGCAGGTCACCCACTAGCCCTCAGAGCCTCAAAGAAGAATGATCTGAGGATGGTCGCGTTCCTTCTTAATGCTGAGAACAACCAGAGGAACTTCCTTGGAGGTGTGTGATCTCTCCCTCTCTCTTCTGTTACTCTGTGCGTGCGTGCGTGCGTGTGTGTCTGATTTAAAGTGTTTAACTTGTAACTTATTGGGTGATGATTGTTTTGAAGGCGAGAGAGACAACGTAGTTAATCAGATGCCTAAGACAGTGAAGGGGCTGGCATTCCCAGGATCTGGAGAAGAAGTGGAAAAGCTCCTCGGAAACCAGAAGAAATCATACTTTGTAAATGCTCAGCGTCGTCAGCAGCGAAGTGATGAAGATGAGGAAGAAGAAGGAGATAAGGAAGAGAGGGCTCTATTGTCTTCCATTTAGGAATCTTTCTAATAATAATGCCAGCATACTTATATGCTTGTGGGCATGTAATATAAGGGCTTGAATAAATACTTGCTATGGGGAGGAGGCTTTTGCATATGTATGTATCAGAGCTGATGATATGGCTTTCTACTGCTACAATAAATAAATAAATAAACGAATAAATCGAGCCCTAACTTTGTGTGAAATTGTAGTACTGTTCCTCTCTTCGTTGCCATTTGTTTTAAGTTCTCTCTTGCCTCTAATTATGAGTCGTGTTCACAGTAACTAAGCTGGAGCCCTAATTGAATAAAGGCCACGTTTGTCCACATAAATAGGACAAATTAATACTGTGAATATATTAAGTCATGGATACTAACATCGCACCAAGAAATAAGTTTAGCTGAAGTTATAGTTAAAACTAATGAACTTTGTAACAAAACGTAATTTTGTTTAGATTTGTTGTTAATTAGTAACTGACACATTTTTATAGCAGTTCAACAAGGCATATGCATGGACTGAACAGTATCATCAACTCCAATATCATATACTCTCTCTCTTGATATATAAGAGAACTAACACTTGTTTTTTTTTTTTTAATATATATAAGCAAAGTCATAATTATTATAATTTTTTAAACTGTCCTTTATAATCTTATAATTTTCATTCATGAAAAATAATTAATACAGCTTTACTTTGATTGAATATAAGGGTATTTTAATCAATTTTTTATTTTTATATATAGTTAATTGATTTTTTTTTTAAAGCATGTAACATAATTATTTTCTCTTACACATTGAAATGGCGGAAGTAGCTTTTTTTTTTTTTTTGGGTCATAGATATTGAAAAGAACATGCATGTAGGGTAGTTCTCATTACGAGAAATCTTAGAAATCTTCAGAATTAATACCTATATCTTTGCAATTTACCAATCAATTTAAGAAGCCTTTTGCATTAGTGCTGGTGGATCAATCATCATAGACTTCTAACGAGTAAAATTAATTAGTTTCATCTTAGAAATTTATCTTATTCAAATGTTCGCACTTTTACAAAGTTCGTAACCAACTCCTTCAAAGAAGTCATTAGTTAAACCTAAAAAATATGGGTGAGATTAATCTCTTTTTCACTTATTCTTCTTTATGTGGAAATGACATTTTTTTTCTTATAATGACTGGTCTCTCCTTAAAATTAAATAAACAATTTCCTTTACTTTTCTTGTTTTTAGGGCCATCTCGTGACCAGAAAATATTGTTTTGTACATATACGGGGAGTATCTAAGTATTAATTTCTTTTAAAAGGTATAATGTTTATCTATAATGTAGTGAAAATTTTGAATTTCATAAGTATAAAATTTTTCTTATATATATTATTTAATTTCCTTTCTATTATTCAAGGATTATAGTGTAAATTATAATTAATATTAAAAATAAAAAATTAACAAAGATAATTAATAAAAAATAACCATATATAATAAAAATAATAATATTATTTTATTGATTGTACTTTTAAACATATGTTAGATTAAATGCGCCATTTTATTTTATGGTTGTTTTTAATAACAATCAAATAAAGAGTTTTTATTTGATTATTGTCAAATAAAATGATATCCATCCTCTGCTCACAGAGATGGTAGCATTTTGCATGTATACCTGAAACATCTTCTCTCTCAATTCATGAATCATTGATCAATTTCTGTTTCTCTCTTTCACCTCCTATCTCTTTTTCCGTCTGAAAACTGATAAAATGGATTGTTTTTTTTTTTCCCTTCCTTTAATTTTCTTTTGTTTAGTTGTATTTTAACTGTGTTAATTATAATATTCAAGGGCAGAGTGAGGATTTAAGAATAAGGGAGTCAAGATTAAAAAACATATATATTACAAAAGTTTTATAAATTTTGAGAAAGTCAAAAGTCTGTAACTTACATAATATAAAAAAATTTTAAAAAATTAGGGGCTGCGGCCCATACCTGTTGGTCCCCCTCCCTCTGTTACTGATAATATTTGTGTTCCAATAAAAAACAGTAAAAAGATTCAATTTTTATAGTGGTAAACATATATCATTATTGCCCCTCTCCAATAATATACTACCAAAGGGATTTGCGAACCCGGGCCACTAGCTAACCATCTCTGAATACAAGTGTTTATTTTGATTATATTAGTCATTAGGTTTGGATTCGATGAGGGCATGAGTTCTCTCATCCCACTAGTGTCTCACATAATACAATAGCTATCATTTAATTTAATCAAATGTATTTTGCCATATAATGTTCATAAATATAAAATACCAAATCTCAAATTTTGGAAAAAGATAACATATGCATCATACTTGTTTTAAATTTCTGGAGACAAGATACAAATTTGACTTGTTCTATTCTCATCCACTCAGCCACTTGTTCGTTAAGAGTTTAATTAAACGCTCTGAAACATCAAAATGTAACGTATCATAGAGGAAGTTTTTAACCATTATGCTTTTGAAGTCTTTTGAGAATGGTTTAAACGAATCTTATGATAAAAATGAGGGATTGGAAGAAAAAAGATTGATATTCTTAGGATTCAAATCAATCGCTGGTTAATAACAAAATTTCATATCTCACTTCATCAGATGGGTTGGATTTTAATTTCAAAACAGTGATCTCTACCCGCTCATTCATCATCATTCTTCATTCCAAAATCCAACCATACATTCATGGAAGCAATTTTTTTAAGTTAAGATTCATTAATTTTGTTGAAGTTTTTCTAATATTTTTTAATATATTGAAAAGAGAGAGGGATGGAAATTAAATAGAGAGAGAGAATAATATTAAATTAAACTTATTTAATAAAAATTTAATCTTTTTAAAATGTTTTATATTTTTGGATGTGCCAAATTTTCCCACAAATATTTTATAAATTAGAAACTGGAGAAGAAGGTAGTAAATGTGAACCCACACATATAAATCCAACATTCCTTACATTCATACATGATCATTCTTGATTCAGAACACTGGTCCCATCCCATGCATCTTCATTAAACTTAAAGCTTTAATTATAACTTCAATTAATTTCGCATCTCTCAGACTCAATCGTCTCAGATACAAGGCACACCCCATTACAATAATTCATTAACTTAAAAACAATGTTACATTTCTCTTCATCTTTTTTACATTTAATTTATTAGTTAGGCCCTACTCATCCTTTTGCAAACTAAGGATAAATCCAAGCAACAAAGCAAAGGTGAAATATAGCTGGAAGTTTTACTGCAGATGTTTTCCCAGGTTCAGTGTGTCATATTTATCGTCTTCCCTTCTTGTCCCATCGTGAAACACTCGTCACCTTGCATGCCTCCTCCAGTCCACGTGTCGTCCATGCATGAGATGCAAATCAAACCTTACACGTACACGTACGTTCAACTCTTCATGGCACTATCCACTGCTGCTAGCTAGCTAACCTTGCTGGTGCTTCCTTCGGCAGCTTTTTCCGTTATAAATACCCGACTCGTCATTCTCAGATTTGCATCGACGAGTAGTGATCTGAGACTTTGTGAGTGATTATCAACAATGGCGAAGCTTCCTCTGTTGATGTTGTTTCTGGGTTCTGTTTTCCTGGCAATGGTCTCTGATTCTGTTGGCCATAGCTTGAGGGAGGACGAGGACCAGCGCTCACGGAACCAGAATCCTTATCTTTTCCGATCTAAAAGCTTCCAAACTCGTTACGAGAACGAACGTGGTCGGATCCGAATCCTCCCAAGGTTCGACCAGAGATCCAATCACCTTCGAGGGCTCCGAAACTATCGACTTGTCGAGTACGAGTTAAAACCACATTCTCTGTTTCTCCCCCACCATCGCGATGCTGAAGTTCTTCTTGTTGCCGTCGAAGGCAAGTCTTGACCTTTTTTCATTCAATATATATATATATATATAATCGGTTGATAAATATTCTTATTAATTAATAATTAATTATGACAGGAAGGGCCATTACTAGTATTGTGAACCAGACTAATAGAGAGACCTTCAAAATAGAGGAAGGTGACGTGGTGAAGGTCCCAGCAGGGTCCCTTGTTTATACTGCAAATCTTGAAGAAAACCAGAGGTTCAGAGCTGCAAGCCTTGTTCTTCCCGTCAACATACCTGGGAATTATGAGGTCATCATCATCAATCATTCAAACATAAATTGACTTCAGACTTCTCCTTCTTTGTTATTTAATTTGTTCTTCAAGTTTTGATCTTTACGAACAAAAATCTCATGGGGATTTGTTTGTTGATTCCTAATGCAGAATTGGTATCCGGCAGGCAATCAAAACCCTCAGTCTTACTACCAGGCCTTCAGCAGGAAAACTCTCGAGGCTACCTTTGATGTGAGAGCTAGCCCAATAACAACAACACATCTCTCAAATATTTAAATTAAGCTATTCTAAAAATAAAGAAAATAAAATATTTTATTAAAATAGTTTTAAATTAACCTATTCTTAAAATAAAGAAAATAACATATTTTATTAAAATAGTTGATTAGACATATTTATAATATTCCTAGTTGTGAAACTTTTAAGCTTGTACTTTTTTTTAATTTCAAGTCTCTCTTTTAACTATATTTTTTCTTTATCCTTCATTTTTTTATTTTTTTTTTTTTTTTTTTTCACAGTTTTCTTTTGTTCCAAATCGAATAGCTCTTTAAACCATTTTGATTAGATACATTTAAAGTTTTATGTGTTTCTAATTTATATCATCATTATTATAAGCATTCATTTAATTTGTGTTCTGATTAATTAACGTTGTAACGTGTTGTGAAACAGGAGAACATCAACGAGATTCGAAGGATCCTATTTGGAAACCGACAACAAGGAGGGCAAGGACAAGAACAGAGTTCAAATGAGGGAGTGATTGTGAGATTGTCGAGAGAACACGCAAGAGAACTAAGAAGGCATGCCGAATCATCTTCAAGCCCAAGAAGAAGAAGAAGAAACCCAATCATGAACTTGAAAAACCTTCATGCTCGTTATTCCAACGAATATGGTAACTTGTGGGAGGCTTGTCCTGAGGAATTCCACCAACTCAGAGACTTGGATATCTCTGTCGGTTGGCTAGAGCTCAAAAGGGTACTTATTTAACCATGCTTTATTACAAAATTACAATTACGATGATGATATATATAATTCATTTTGTGTTGAATAATGTCGTCTCTAGGGATCTCTGTTTCTACCACACTACAACTCAAGGGCCATAGTGCTGGCTCAAATTATTGATGGAATGGCAAAAGTCGAAATTGCATCCCCACATCTGGCTAATCAAAGATCAGAAGAACAAGAACAAGAACAAGATCAAGATCAAGAGAGAGAGCAGCAACAGCGGCAGCAGCAACAGCAGCAAGAGGAAGAAGAACAAAGTCAAAGTGAAGGACACATTCAGAGGGTTTCTTCTAGGCTGAATCAAGGTGATGCTTACGTGGCCCTCGCAGGTCATCCACTTGCCCTCAGAGCTTCAAAGAGGAATGATGTAAGGATGATCGCATTCCTGCTCAATGCTGAGAACAACCAGAGAAACTTCCTTGGAGGTATCTATCTATCTATACGTGTGTGTGTGTGTGTGTGAGACTTAGCTAAAACTCATCTGATATGATGATCATTGATATTAATGAGTCAAGATAAAGCTAACTTGGTTTTTTGATTGTTTTGGTGAAGGTGAGAGAGACAACGTGATTAATGAGATACCAAGGGTAGTGAAGGAGAGGGCATTCCCAGGGTCTGGCGAAGAAGTGGAGAGACTGATCAAAAACCAGAAGAAATCATACTTCGTGAATGCGCAGCGTCGTCAGCAGCGAGGTGATGAGGAAGGAGACGAAGAGCGGGCTCCATTGTCTTCCATTTTGGATGAAGATGCTTTCTTTTGATTGGCTATGTAATAATAATCTAATGCTTGCATGTATATATATGTGTGGGCATATAAGGGCTTGAAGGAGGCTTTTGTATGTAATCAGAGCTCTGGCTTTCTACTATTACTATAATAAATAAATCAAGCCCTAATATTTACTTTTGTTGCCCTTTCTTTTAATTTCTGTCTTGATAAGTCTAAGTTTATTTTTCGTCCTGATGGTTTCCACTGAGTTAGTTCTCACATCCAGGGCTAGGCTTGAACAAACAAATATTCCTTCCCGTCTTTAATTAAAGACACTTCATAAAACTTAATGAATCATTAGTTAGTTAATTTTAAAAACGTCCACATATTGATCGATGGTTTCATTTGGTCTAGGTGGGTTCCTTCTCAACCAGGAGATCATTCAAAAATCTTAATTAGGCTAGGCCATTCAATGTTTATATGATGTCTTATTTTAATTCAAAATTAAATATTGAATTTATGGATTTTTTTTACTTATATCCTTTTCAATCCAGCTAACTTTTTCCCTTATTAAGTAAAATTAACTCACACTTACTTAACAAGGTCTATAAGATAAAGAATGCACCATTCTTGGGAGTGAGCTTTACCTCTTTTCAGGCTTGGATTGAGATTGAGTATTAGAGCTCTGTTCTCTGTATTTGCTAAAAAAAGAAACGGCGGTTCATTTAGGCGTGACATGTTTGATTTTAAGATTTAAGGATAATGTTAGTAATTTTAATTAAGGATAATTTGAAAATTTTATAGAAATTTTTTAAGAAATCAATACTCTTCTCTAAATTTAATCATATTTAACTTACAAATAGGATTGGATTAATTCTAATAGTCTTAGAGCATGCGAGTTTGGTTTTGAGTTAATTTTGGTCAAAACATTACGTTTGCTTTGGTTAGGTCACAGCTATGTTCAAAACCATGCGCGTCTTAAATGTTCTAACCAAAATCAACGCAAAATCAAAACCTGACTTATTGAATAAGGTAATGTTGGACCACAGACAAAAAGGATAAATGACGAAGTACTTTCATCGTCATTTCTGAGAACTTACTCATTCCTTTTAATTTGCTCAGCCCCCCGCGCGCGCGCGCATATATATCACTGCACTGCACATAAACCCTCCAATATACTATACTACCTTGAAATTTGCGAACATGGCCACTAAGCATCAAGTTTTTTCATATACAATTGTTTCTTTCATGATTATATATAATATAAAAATCTGGGTTAATTTGTCCATTGAATTAGTAAACTATTAAACTGGTATCTCACTCACTTTAATAAAATGCTTTATAACAAATTTAATTACATGTTTAACTATAATTTTAATTATTAACTCTTAAATTAATACTTAATTTATATATGTGTGTGTGTTGTCTTTACATACAAATTACACAGCTGATATATTCTCAGTTTCTGATCACTCAATGCAGCAATTATGACATGTGTATAAACGTGGCGAATGGAGTGTGCATCTTGTGTGCCTCGTACATGTACTATGTAATTTGCAAGTACCGAGGACTAAGTATGAACAACGACAAATATATTTGTCCCTTTTAAGGGATATATATATATATATATTTTATTTATTTATATATATAGTATATCTACTGGCTCATGGCGAGGCGAACATTGGCTCGTGCAAGAAAACATATAATTTATAATACTATGATTGAACATAGAATCTAATACAGCTGCAACCTGGATCTGCAAACCATATGAATTATTCGAATTTTTTTACTTTATTTGTCATATTCATGGTCCCCTTTTTCTTCCTTATCTTAAATTTCTTGCTTCAGCAGGATATATATAGTTAGACAAAGATGATGTTGAAACATGAAATAAAGCGACCATTAATAGAGTCATCCTTTATATATAAACACCAATATTTAATATCATACTTTTTCTTGGATGTTAAAGGATTGAGATTTTTGTTTTTCTTTTTTTGAGCAAAGTTTAAGGATTGAGATCTTAATCTACTTTTTCACCATGCAAACGCATTGGTGCATAAAATAGTTTACTTTTTTTTTCTATGGCTTATTTTCTTTGAACATGATTTTACTTTAACTTGCTTACAATTGTATATTTTTTTGGTCAATTAATAGTTAAATTAATGAAAATTATACAGAGAGATGAAATTACTTCCTTCTTAATACATGAGAGATGACATTGCTCTGCTTTTGGTATATTTACATTTCACTTGAACTCTAATTTAAGGTTAAGGCATTATACTAAGTAAGGTTGTTTTAAAATATTATTAATTTTGATTAAAATTTAGACTATTTGTTAGTATTTTTTGTACAATTTCAAAATAACAATTATTCTTAGGCTGTTACGATACACTGTCCATGTTTGGCTTGTGGTTTGAGAGGTATGATTGTAATATGGACTCCAAATTAAATTTGCTTCATCCAAATGGAAAATTTTTAATTAGCAATTTCTTAAAATAATTTTTTTTTTCGCCACAGTCTGACAGAGTACTCGCACTCAAATGAACACATGACACTGATTCCTCAGTATTCAATGCTTTGGTAATCTTCTCGAGTTCTTGTCCATTTTGCTGAAACACTCATCAGCCTCCACGCCACCCATGCCCACGTGTCCTTTACTCATGACATGCAAATGATTAAAACTTACACATATGCTCACCTTCATCATGACACCACCTGCCTCCCAAAATTCTCAAGCCCATGCCTATAGTTAAAGCAAAAATTAAGAAGTACTCGAATTCCTACCAATAAAATCGTTACAGTTAATAAAGATCTAATTCACAATTAATAAGATCATGTTTTAAATCCCACTAAAAATGTAAGGACTTTGTAAGTAATTTTATAAGTGTTTTTTGAAATGACCTGACCTGCTCGTGTTCGCAGTGCCAATTTACTTAATTTTCTTTTTCAAAAAGAAAAAGCTCCTTCCATCTCCTATATGTACAGATTAACACCCGAGTCTTCATCCTCGTCAGATTTTTAACGAGGAGTATTGCGAGTTTGTCCACCAGACAGTACTACCTTGAAAGCCACGAAGGTTCGTCATTTGTTGTTTGCAGGTACTGTTTCCTGGTTATGGCCGGCCTCAGCCATGCCATGGGAAAACAAGAATCCGAAATACGACGTCGTGTGTGTCAAAATTAAGCCGTGAACAAGAAGAAAACGATCCTTTAACCAAGGAAACCGAGTCGCAGGCCACCACCAGCTTCATCGTGATCCTGAGAAGGAGAGAGAAAGGGAGAGAAAAGAAAGACATGAGAGTGAGGAGAGACAGAAGGAGGAGAGAGAACGACGTCGTGAGAAAGAGGAACAAGTAAAACAGGAGAGAAGAAGGACAAGGTTCCCAAGACCAGAAACAGAAGCCTTATCTTCTCTTCCGTTCTGACATCTTCCAAATTAGAGCTTCCTTGTCTTCCAAAACTAGGCTCCATTGTCTTCCATCTTGGAAGCTTCCTTTCAATGGCAATGATATATGTATTGATGTATGTAGGCGTTTGTGTGTGTGTGTGTGTGTTTGTTCCGCTTTCGGAAGATGCTTGAAGGGCTAAGGAGGCTTCTGCTTGTAGTTTTATTCCGTTTTGTGTGTGTGTTTTATTCCGTTTTGTAGGCATTTGTGTTTTCTTCATCTTGGACTGCTATAGTAAATAAATCAAGCCATCAATCTTTTTGTGTGAAACTGCTATAATGTTATTGATGGTTTCAACTTTCAACGCCTTAAACATTTTACGTACGCAGTTGTTTTGAAGAGTGCTCGGTCCAAACTCAGGTTTTAAGCCATAATCTGTCTCTGTGTGTGTGTGTGTGTGGACAACAGAATGAAGAACTATTACCGTAATGGCTTTGTGGAAGTATTGAATATAGTACTAACAAAAAGTTAGTTATTATATTGATTATACCCTAAGCTTATATAAATGTTTAAGAGTTAGGTATTCAGTAGAAGGTTGAATCCAGACCTCATGGATTACCCTTTGGAGAGTTTTGGGATTAGTTTTGTAATTAATAATCCTTTGAAGATTTTTTTTATTGTAATTTTCTATCATAATTATGAATAAGTTCATTGATTTTCTTTTCCTCTCATTCATATTTCAGTTTTGTATGGGTTAACAGGCTTTGCCTGCATTCGTTGTCTACTGGGAAAATGAGAATGTAAGATAACAAAGATGTGTGTGAAAAGGATATATTATATTATCTCATCGATCGTCATTGACTCTGGTTCTGATTTCAACCAATTTGCTACATGTATTATTTTCTCCCTATATCTCCCCTCCATATTATTATAATCTCTTGGCAATTGACTCTTCTGCTGTAGCTATTATGTCTACTTCGCTTGGACCCGCTAAAACAAGTTTTGTCAGCAAATATCGTTCTCGTTAGAATGAATCCTGTACATATATACACTGTATTTTGACAAAGTTTCGTGGCATAATCAATAAAATTTCCAAATTTCTTTTGTTTTACCTTAAATTGATTGGAGTATCATATCATCATGATACATCGATTTCTATTTAAAGTCGGGGTTACTTTTAGTTTCTACTGGAATATGATAGTGTCATTGTATCGCTAAGGAAGCATGAGAAACGCCCAGAGATGATCGATATGGATAATTAATTAGGAAAGGAAGGGAAGTCTGGGTGATATCAAAATGGTGCGAGTCCACATCGAGCAGATGAGAAGTGGGAGAGTGGAAGAGAGAGCATAAAAGAAAGGGAATGAGAACATGTGAAACATACTTACCTGGACGGGGTTAATGGGTGATCAAAAAGGCCCATGTCCTAGGCCTGTGATCTCCATTGCACTCGGGAGTGGTGCATGCCTAAGGTCTACCTGAATGGTAGAGCCTACGTTATAATTTGTGGTAGTGGAGGCTTGCGTTCGCGCAGCCTCTTCCCTATGCTAAGTTCAACAATTTTTTAAAAACTCAATTATAAATTATTAAAATAGTTTGGGCTTGGCTTGACTTAGTAACATGTAGGTTTGCATTTATGTTGTCCTTCATTGAAGATTTAAAAAAAGGAATTAATGAATAACTCAATTCCTTGTGAACAATCAACTAGTTTTTTTATTTAAAAAAAATTATAAAAAGGATCCATAGAGGATCAATCTCAACTAAGCAACATCTTGAACACAAGTAGAGTAGGGCATGCAAATTACTGGAGGGAGAGCTTTGTCTCTGCAACCCAAACCCCGCCACCGCATCCTTGCATCTGTGCATCTCAATCTCAATCTTAATCTTCCTCTTCAATATGTTGATATGCAACAACTCGGCTTTGATTGGTCTCGAAACATATTAGCTCTTAATGGTAGAGAACCTTTGTTGTTGTTGAATGGAGAGCCTTTGTCTTTCTTATAACATCTTGAAAATTAACCCCTAATTAACTAAGTTAAATGAGGTTAATTAAGTAAATTAGTATGGTGTGTGTTAGATAGAGCTAATGAATGTATTGAGTTGTAGTTTTAGCCTTAGGTTTGGATATAAAGCAAAACCAGATCACCTAGACGTCAATAAGAGAGAAAAACAAGAAAAAGTGGCTCTATACCACATGCCGCATTGGATGCCGTAGCATGAGTCACAGAAACGCAAAGCCTAAATCTCTGTATCATGTGCCACAGTGCATGTGTAGCATGTCGTGATGTGTGGTTGAATTTTTGAAAAAAAAAAAGAGCCTTGTTAATTGCATAGAGAAAATGAAGAACGCAGGAGAAGCTCTATTAGGGCATGTCTAATTAAAAGGTCTAGAAGCATTTTGAAGCTTGTAAACATTAAAGATAAGTTTTCTAAACCCTCTACTTCCATCCTTTTCCATTTTCTCAAGTTTTTGAGTAAGGGTTTGAGTTATGGAAGTTATTTTTGGACATATGAAGTTATGAATCCGAACCCATTAACTTAAATAGTGTTAACGAAAGTTATTTAGATTATTTAAATCTAGTATTCAAAACTTTATTAGTGTTTGGTGGAAGGAAGCAATTAATGGCTGAAAATAGTTATAAATGAGGTGGTTAAGAGTTGTTTAGTGCTATTAATTATGACTAGAAAGTTTGTTGATGTTAGTTGGAGACAATGGGAGATAATAAACTTAATGGATATGTTCAAATGCAAGGAGATTGGGATTTTGAGTAGTCAAAGTGTTGTTCTGAGGGTTGTAATTTCATTAATAGTGAAATTAATGATTATGGGTATTACTAATTGTAAATTTATCACCCTTTTGGCACCATTCGAGCTTGAAGAAAGCTTTAAAATTGATTGTATTAAGGGGTAAGCATTTAACCTCTCAAATATTTGAGGTAATCAAGAGAAATGTTACTTTTATTTTTGTGTGTTAATTAGTTATTTGGTTTTATAAACTATTATAGAGATATGTGAAATTATTTTATGCAAGTATGGTATGAAGTATTTGAAAATTAAAGGTTATGAGTTATGAATCGTTGAAAGGATAAATGTATGTGTGAACATGCAAATGAAATGATTGTCAATGGGTGAGTTATATGGAGAAACTTGTAAGTGTTTGTAGAGTTATATGTTGAGTTGTGTTGGGAGAAATATATGATGATTTGTGATATGATGAAAATGATGATGATATATTATGTACTAGTCATGATGATTAAAGGCATGCTATGAGTTAAGCATTTGTACATTATGGTCTTTTATGATGAAGTTTGCTTAAGAAGAGTAGTAGTAAATTTAAATCTATGTGGTATGATCGCCATTCAAAGCTCGATGGCTCACCTTGATCATATATTTATATTGTCTCACTTATTTTATGAGGGACTTAAACCTAACTAGCTTTCACTTGTTCAATAAGAAAGCAAGCTTAAGGATATGGCACCCCATAGTATATAATTTGGAGAAAACTATAACCCATAAGTGAGTGTAGTAGTCTTGGTCAGAAAATTCCTCACAAGTAGAAGGCTTGGATAGTCTAATTATATGGATCAATCCCTTAAAATAGCACATGGTTTGATGTTTAGGGTGTCAGGAGGATATAAGGAAGGCATTGATCTTGCATATCATATTATAATTATATGGTTGTTATTATTGTGGCTTTACCTATTATTATTAAGGGCACATTGTTATTATCATTATGACCCTTTTGAGATATATTTATTTATTTGCATGTTGATAATGTTGTGAATGATTGGACTTGTAAGTTGTGGAATAATGTGAAATGGTTTTGTTTGCTACTTGCATTTATGTAATTAATTGACATGCATTAATATAAATATAAAGATATATCTCGATTATTTAATAGTTATACTTACCCTTCTCTCTTCAATATTTACAAGAGCTAACTAAGTCAAGGCAGGTGAAAAGCACCCAAGGCCTAGGATATTTGATTTCTAATAGTAGGCTTCTATTTTGATTTATTATGTGTAATCTAATATGAAAATGCCATCTAGGCAGAGTGCATATTCTTTTGATTTACTTGCACCAATTGATGTTGATGTTAGAAATTGTATTTTGAGCTATAGGTTATAAGTTCTTTGTGTGTGTATTTAGAAAGAGCTAAAATAATAATGCAAATAAGTAAATGTGTAAATGCATGATTATGATGATTCGTGAGAAATTGACTTCCCTTGCTATTTTTAAAAATTAAGAGGTTGAGTATTAAAAATGTGATGTGCATGTTATTAGAGTGATGTAGTGTATAGCACATGTATCTTTTAGTCTATTGAGTGTGGTCAAGGGATGGTTATGAGCTCCTGGCACTTGATAGTGAAATTAAACACCTTAGTTGTGGTTTAAGTGTAAAAAAGAGTGATTTTGCAAATGGATATCCAAATCTTAATTGAGAAATAATTTGTATATAAGACTAATACTATTAACTAGAGCTCTAAAAGAGCTTTCTATTAACATCTAGATCACCTTAATTAGACATTGAATGAATTGAGAGGCATTAGAAGTTTAGCCCCTATTGTTGTCAAATGTCTGTCAATTATATGCAATGTGCCACAGAGTATGACATAGAGAGAAACATGTCGTGACTCATGTGTAACATACCGCAATGCATCCTCTTTTTCTTGTACTAGAATGTTATTTTCAACTTAAATGCAAATTCTTTGATACAAACTGATATCCCATGCTTCTGTAATCATTTGTACTTTAATTTTGGGCTTATAAAAATTATGTGGTTATGTTTTAAAACTTAAAAAATGTATGATCTCATTTATGTTGGTTTTGACTTTTGGAAAACTGTAATGACTTTCTGATGTAAGGGTAATTCTTAAGGGTTAATTCTATGATTACCATTAGAGTGTTTAGTCAAGTGAGAATTAGTAAGGACAACCTTACATCTCTAACCCTAGCTACCATTACCGCTATCGCTTGTCTTCTCATCCATCATCTCTTCATCTCTCAATCTCACTCTTGTCTTAATTTGCATTAACAAGGATTAGACCTGCCTTCTGATGTAGGGAAGTATCATTTGTCTTCCTATCTCTACTGTTGATTCAGAGTTAGATTTTCTTCACAATAATCTTCTTCATCAACTTTTTTAATACTGCTCAATTTTTTTCTAGTACTCAAGCCAGCGTTAACTGATCAATCTACAGATTTTTTCCCAAAATTTGTTTGCATCTTCCAATTTACTGTGTTATTAACATCAATCAATATTCCATCTTTACCGTTTCAATTTTGTGGAAGATATGAAACTATGTTTCTTTCTTATGTGTTCAACATGTTATCTGTTAATAAGAACCTCTTCCTTTTTGCTATGGTGATTGATGGTTGATAGTTACATATCTCAAACTTGTTATTCTTGATTAGCATCCATTGGAAATTGCAAGGGTTGATATCAATGGTTCAACAATTTTCAAAACTCATTTTTACTTTACTTGTAATATGAGGAGGATTTAAATTATATAATTTTTCATGGACCATGGATGTTGCAATATCACGATGTGAAAACAGCATGGTATGTTGGACAGTGTTTTGGAAATTTTATTTTCTATGATGATAAAAGCCATTTCAAAGGTTTTGGTTTGCGCCTTCAAGTTTACATTTCTGAATTTTGCCTGAGCTCTATCAATCTTAATAATTTAAAATTAATTGATGGTGTGACTTTGAATGTGTCAATTGTTTTGGAGCAAGTTAGAAGAGTGTGTCCTTCTTGCATAGGAATAGAACATGTTGCTAGACATTGTAAAGTAGCTTCCAATTGTCAATCCCAAGTTCCCTTTTTGCTGTGGGTTCTCAACCAGTTGGTGTCAAATATGATAGCTCCTCTAGCCTATATATTTCTTCTGCTCAATTGTCTGGAGTTAGAGCTATCACTCAATGTTGTCCTCAAGAAGCTTCAGTAAAAGTTGTCTCATACCATTGTCGATCACAAGATGAAGTTAAGGGTGACAAGTCTGAATGCAAGTGAAGAGCAGAGTCATTTGGTTTAGAAAGTAGGATGAGTAAAAGGATCAAAATTTAGGACTTTGAAGATACCTATCCTAAAAAGGACTGCACTCATGGTGGGATTGGCGTAGAGTGACATTCTAATCATGGAACATTCCATTTAGCCATTGATAGGAAGTGCAAGTTTTGTGATAAGTTTTCATCTGACACCCTATACTATTTACAGGCTAAAATTTCATGAGAAGATGCATATGCTTTTAATGTTATAACATTCTTCATTGAGGACCTTGTCTTTTAAAAAGAAAAAAGAAAGAAGTCAATCAAACTTGAGGATGAGAGTAACAGATGTTGATGGTTTCTTAGGAAGGAAAGGTACCAAACACCAAGTGAGATGTGATACTGATATTCCCAGCAAGGTTGATGTTAAGGGCGGGATATATGTCTTAGGTTTTGATGGGTTCTTCTATTAGAACGTTCACCAAGACAATCTAATGAAGTTTTTTTTTTGGCTGGTAATCCAATGAAGTTGAACAGGACCAAACACTTGGGGTGATATTGTTCTTTTCTATTTTTTGCAAGTCTTTGAGACTAGATTAGACTTCAAGTATTTATGGAACTTTCCACCGTTCATATGCCTTCCATTGTTTTGTTTATGCTCAATTATGGGTTTTATATTATGCTCATCAAGCTACCATCCCATCATAGATAGAGGTATTGCAGCTTATTTGGTGGAAGATGCTGCTCTTCCAAGCAGCCTTGCAGTCCTCATGTACAAATAGTAATTATATCCTTTACCCAATGGCAATCTTTTTTTTATTTTGCTCAAGTGTCCACTTAACAAAAACACTCATGTTCAAAGCACAGTTGAGTATTAAATATGAACACTTTTTGTAGCAAGAATTCAAACTTTAATTTATCATGTTATAAAATATTAGCTTATTTTGTTAGACCTAATTTATGTTAATCCATGCCAATCATTTTAACCTCTAATTCTCGGACGGTTAATCTGCCAAAATACAGTATGATGCTAGGAGGTAATTACAGGATGTTTAATACCACATATATATGATCCAAATGTTTTATTTTCTCGGTACAATTTTTTAATAATATTATAGGCATTTAATAATCTCACATATCATGAACTGAAACTTTTACAATAATTAAAAAAGTAAAAGTAGCGATGTCTATTATGAAATTTTGCTGGGGAATGGCGATGCGTGATAAGAAACGCACACAATTTTAATCACTTTCTTAGCTTATATATGTAATTTTTTATCTTTTGTTTTAGAAAGTGATAATTAAGTTCGTGCAATTTTCTAAGTTTGTTGTAAAGTGAACTTTTCATAAGAAACGCTCAGCCGCTCAGATGATGTGGATATATAATTAGCTAGTTAGGAAAGGAAGCTTGGCTGATATCAATGAGAGTCCCACATCGAGCATACAAGAAGTGTAAGAGTGGAAGAGAGACTATAAAAGCAAGGGAAGGAGAACAATTAAAACATACTTACCTGGACGGGGTTAATGGGTGATCAACAAGGCCCATAGCCTAGGCATGTGACTTCCACTGCACTTGGGAGGGGTGTATGCCTAAGGTCTACTTGAATAGTGGAGCCTACGTCATAATTTGTGAAAGTGGGGGCCTGCGTTCGCGCAGCCCCTTCCCTAAACCAAGTCCAATAATTTTTAAACGCTTGATTATAATAACTTGTTAAATTAGTTTGGGCTTGCCTTAAGTTATCAGTGAATATGTAGGTTCACATTTATGTCGCTACCATTTAATTTACAAATAAAATGACTGTGAAGCTTAAAATAAAAAATTACTGATAGTTAAGGATTTTTTTTTTATCCTATTTATAAGTTAATTTTAACATATTTTGACATGTTTTACAAGAATTAAAAAATTTTAAATCTCATTAATATTATTTTAAAATTTAATAAGTTTTCACATTTACCCCTAATAAATATTCTTGAATCTTATTATTAATATTTTTATTCAAAATATTTAATAAAAGTAAAAAGATAAAGAAAAACATTGAAAATTGACAAATGTCATATAAGTAAGACCAAATATTATTTTTTATCTACCTTATAAATAAGATCAGAAGAGTAATATATTATTTGTTATTTATAAGAAATTAAAGGTCATTCCTAAGCTATATTACTTGGATTTGAATTTAGTAACACAAACAAGGGCGGAACCAGCTTATCAACGTTGGGGGGCCAATTTTTTTTTTTTTTGAAAGATAATGTTTATAACTAATTAGATATTTTTAATTAGAAAATTAATATTATTAAAAATTTTCTATAAATTTATAAATGTTAGACAATAAAACTTGTATGTTTATGAAATATTTTAAATAAATCGAAAACTATATGTCTTATATATAATTTACTGGAAACAAATCTAATACATTAACTTTGAGAAAGAATTAAAAATAGTTACTGAACGTTTATATTTTTTACATGCTTCCTATGTTATTGCATATTGATTATTTGAACAATGATATTAGGACAGATCTTCAAATTTTGTCAAAAAATAAATTACTATAGTAATATTTGAATTTTAAAATATTACATATTTGGCATCTTTAAAGTAATCTTAACTAATTTAATTATAGAAAAATTAAATAAGAAAAATGAATCTATATTTAATAAGAATGCTCTATTTTTATAATAATTTAACAAGATATATAATTTGTACGGTATAAATTTATAAATAAAAGGATAAAATTAATCAAAAATAAATATTTTGTAAACTATTGAATTGCATATTTTAATGTTTTTTAAATAATGAATAAAATATATAACTTACATATACACACACATATTATTTATACATAAATGTATAATTGTGGATGCCTATTTCCTGGATAGGATGATAAGATAAGGGAGAGGTATTAGTTTGGATTATGAGGCGTATGCCTCGCTGCATGCACTGGTGTGAGGAGAGACAACAAGCTTGTAGTATATATAATTGTCGGTTTGGTTTTGGAATTTAGGTTTGGAGCTTCCTACCCCTTAAGGGTTTGCCAGGTGTGTCAGAGGAATAGATCCTCAAGATGAGAGTTAGATCAAACAATTGTGTAGGTTTCTAAGATCCCTTCCTTGGAGTGCCAAAGCACAGTGAAAAACTAGGAGCATGTCAAGCAATGCACATTGCCGGATTGCATTACTGGTGAGTAAGTGTAATGGGTTATCCGTCCAACGAAGGAAAAGATAAAGTAAAATAGTTAAGGGAGCCTAAGCTATAGTGATAGAGTTGCACTGGGAAAACTGGGGATGACACTGGGTCAAGTGTCTAACTATTGCATTGGGCAAATTGTTTAGTTGATTGGGTTGAATATGCAGAGTGTCAAAATAACCTCAATTATACACTCGTTGCTTATTTATAAAAAAAGTGGTAACAACGCACTCCTTTAAATTTGAACTTTGGAACAAGAAAGAATAGGTAACTATCCACACTATCATATCATTGAGGGTAAACTTCATTGTGTAGAGAGGTGAGAGTTAGTGTGCCATGTAATTCAAATGTGAGGAAGAATGGGTGAGACTCTGTCATAAATCTTTCTAAACGTAGCGTTCTAACAAGTTGGCTAGTCGTTGAGCTTATATTCCATAAAATTGGATTGGGCCTCAATAATTTCTCCTTCAAGCCCAATATACCAAATCTAGTCCAAAAAGTAATGAAGAATGACATTGGCCAGTTGGGGGGTAGGGTGATATGGTTCTACCTTTGGACACAAATTTATTCATTCAATAAGTATCCTACGTAACATGATAATAAGTGTGTTGATAACATCCAATAACTATAACTGAAACATTTTTTGAATAAGTAAATTTTGACCACACTAATTCAAATTAAAGTGATCATTTTATCTTGAAATTGAAAAGTGTGTTCAAGTAGTTCCATAATGATTAGTACTCATCAAGACATGGCTAGGTACACATAGAAACAGAAGATATCGATTAGAACTTAGAAGAGAGAAGCCATTTATTTATGAAAGAGAAAAACTAGGCGTCATTTTATTCATACAAGGATAGATCAGATACATATAGTACTACTCCTTTCGTGTACAGCTCACATTTATGGGATAAGCCCTTAGATTAGATACTATAATAAGCCCTTACATACGTGCCTTATAATAGGCTAATTAAAGATGGCATCATTACATACTTTATTTATTTATTATTAATTATAGAGTGCACAACGCTCGCTCACTGACTCACTCACATGAAAGCCGTCAAGATTGAAGACCAAGCAACCTTGTTTGGCTTCCTCGGCGACTTGTCTCCCCCTCGTGGCTGATCCTCACGATCCACAAAGTACGACGCTTCCTGCCGACGGAGCAGCTTCTCCAATTCTTTACTTGACCTTTCAGATGCCGCCTCCATCACCTCTCTGTCTATATTCTTCAGTACATTGTCTCTCGCACCTTCATTCACATATTTATCACCCATATGTTATATATATCCTGATCATTCTTCGCCTCTGTGTGTGTGTGTGTGTTACGTACCTGCGAGGAAGTTCCTGAAGTTGTAGGGGGCGTTAAGGATGAACTCGACCACCTCCAAGTTGCTGTTCCCTGAGGCTCTGATGGCCACCGGATGACCTGCCGGAGATATGTAAAGACCACTCTTCGACAGTTTCGCCGACAACCTCTTAACCTGTCCTTCTCTACGCTGATCTTGTTGTTCTTCTTGATCTTCCTCCTGTTGTTGTCGTTGCCGTTGCTGTCCCTGTTCGCTCTCGCTCTGTCTTCTACCTTTTCGGTTATACTCTCCTCCTTCTTCATCTTCTGATGATGATCTCTGCTGGTTCGCCAGATGTGGGCACGCCATCTCAGTGTCTCCTTCTCCGTCAGCCACAAAGCCCAGTACTATCGCCCTTGTATTGTAGTGAGGCAGAAACAGAGATCCCTGCAATTCATCATCAAAATTCACCACGCCACATTGTTCCTAGTAGAGATCATGTCAACTCCGACCCAAAAGCCCGTTTACTTTAAAATCGATCCTTTTTAAAAATCCAATTCTGTATTGATAGGCCTTTTTAAATTCAAATTATAATATTTTAAAAATCTAAATTTAATTTAAAAATTGAAAATATCTTAATTTTTAAAGGTAAAATTTAAAATAAAAAAGAAGACTTAATAGTTCATTTTTACAAAACTTAAACACTGCTGCATAGAAATTTTCAAGCCCAAATTCTAAATAGACTTAAGCAGAACGCCCATCAAGTCCGACTCATATTCTAAATAAAAGACTTTGATTGGTTCAGTGACGTGTCTTCGCGTGTTTGCAGTGTGAATACCTCTCTGAGCTTTAAGTGAGTGATACCGATGCCGAGGTCTTGAAGGGATTGGTAGTTATGAGGGTGAGCTTCACGTAAGGAGCCATGGTTGTTGGAGTAGTGAGGTTCGATGTTTCTCAAGTTGAAAGGACCTAATGATGATTCTCTCTCTTCCCTTGATGATGAACTTGATTGGGCTGGCCTCCTCAGCAATGATCTTAACCGTTCTCTCTCCAACTTCACTATCACTCCTTCTTCTGAACCCTGTTCTTGCCCCTCTGATCCCCAGAACACGCTCTGTATCTCCTCGTACGGTGCCTGTTCCGCATCAATCCACAACTTTAATCAATCAGAACACAGCCAAAAAAAAAAACTGTCACATCAATGATGTCGATGATGCTTCTTACCTTGAAGGCTGCCTGGAGAGTCTTCTTGTTGAAGGCTTTGAAGTAGGATTGGGGGATGTGATTGCCAGAGGGGTAGAAGTTCTACACACAATGTGATCATCGATAATGAGAATCTTTTCGGAGATTCCGAGGATTAATTAATATATGAAATTGATAGTTAAGAACAAACCTCAAATTGACCAGGAGTGTTGACGGGTAAAGCGAGTTTGATCAGCTGAAGATCTTGATTGTTAGCTCGATTAACAGTATAACATATAGCCCCTGCAGGAACCCTCAGAACATCGTACTGCTTGAGGTTGAAGGACTGTTTGTAGTTGGGAAGCACAATAGTAACTAAGGCCCTTCCTGGAATTAATCAAATCATGTTTCAAGTTTAGGTAGCTTTCAATATATATGTATGTTATATAATACCCAGAATGCTAGAATGAATTAAAGATCACGGCTGTTTACGTACCTTGAATGGCGACGACGAGGTACTCGGCATCAGAGTGGTGGGGGATGAGGAGGGTTCCGGGTCTGGATACGTACTCGATGATCCGGTAATATTTGAGCATCCGAAGGTGATCGGATATGTTGTCGAATCTTTGAAGAACCCGGATCCGACCGTGTTCGTTCTCGAAACGGGTCTGAAATCTATCAGAGGGTAGGTAATACGGGTTTTCCCGTTGCTGTTTCTGTTCTTCCTGTTCCTGTTCCTGTTCCTTCTCTTCTTGTCCTTGTCCCTCTTCTTCTTCTTCTTTTTCTCCCGACCTCTTACCAGGTCGTCGGCGGCGTTGACGTTCTTCTTGTTCCTTCTCTCTCTGCCACTGAGGTCGTTCCTCCTCCTCTTCCCCCTCTTCGCGTCTTTCTTGTTCCTTCTCCTCCGGCTGCTGCCATGGACGGCGGCGAGGGTCAGGAAGACGAGGGTCACGTTCCGCTGCTTCTTCCTTCTCTTCGGCGTCGTTCGTCAGCTTGCAACGAGCTTGGCAGGCGAGACTGTTGTGAAAGGCACAGCTTTTGACACAGACTCGGTAGTTAGAGCTCTGTTCATCCGAGTAAGCAAGGCCAATGGAGGCCACCGCGAGGATAACAGAACCCAGAAATAGGAGAAGACGGAGCCTGGCTATGATAGAATCCATGATTGATGATCACGGATAGAAGAGCTAACGATGAGTGCTGATGGAATGAAGAGGAAGATCAGTTGGGTATTTATACAGAAGAAAATGAAGGAGCGTGAGGTCTGGTTTCAATGCATGGATGACATTTGGGGTTTGGAGCATCATGCAGCTTGACGAGTGTTGTTTCAGAAACAGACAAAAAATTTTGAGAAGAATTTGCAGAGAGCATCATCTTCAGGTGGGGACGACGTACGGTGTGACTTGTGAGTTAAGAAGAAAGTTTTGGACAGCTAGATAGGTGAAGACTACACGTGTGAGTGTGCATGTAATTGAGGTTGAAGCCTATGAATGTGGACACCAAAGAAAATTTTGGATCTTAACGGAGGTGGAAAATGTAGAAGTTGAAAGGTAGAAGAAGAAGATGATGAACAAGGACGGCATATAGTGTATGGTGTATAGTTCTTTAATTCTTTTAATTTTTTATTTGTCTTTTCGTGCATATCCAGTTTGTTACGGTACTGTCATGGCAGAGAAAAGAGAAGTAATTAATTGATCTTCGATGGGGCTGAGGTTTCTGTTATCGTCTGACGTAAATAAATTAAGGATGCTCGGAATTTGTTTACCTGAGCCACATTCAATTTGGCTTATCATCAGTGCACGTTGTATATTCCCTCTTCCTTTTCCTTTAAATTACCCGACGCTTGGATGTATCTTTTTTTTTTTTTAATCCATTGCGATCCGTTTTACCTCGTTATTACCTGAACGAGAAGTTCACTATAATTATTCTCATGTTGAGAGCATATGGGACCACAAATTTTAATTTGTTTTAGTGCAATGTTACACTTCAACAATAAAAGAAAAGAAAGGTGTAATGTTATAATAAATATTAGCTTTGACTTTTGATTAATAAAAAATTACAAATTAGTACATTATAAAAACTTAATATCAATTAAATTTTTACCTTATAAATAAATTACCAGAGATAAAGCATAAATAAGAAAATTATTCATTAAATTTTAGATTCAGTAACATCATAAATTGTGAACTTATTTATTGTACAAAAAATCAACAAATTTTTTTGCCAAACAAAAATTAATTTTAATTGTTAGTTGATTAAAAAAAGATAAAAAAATGATCTCAAAAATTACAAAAAATATGAAAAAGATTTGGTTCTTGTCTGTAATTTTAGGTCATTTTTTAGATCATTTTATAGTCAACTAACGGTTAAAATTAATTTTTATTTATGAAAATGGCCTGATTGTACTATTTTCAAAAATTGAGAAAATAATTTGTATAATAAAAAAGTTTAGAGTCTATGATGCTCTTACACCTAAAATTTTAAAGATAATTTATTCATTTACTCAAAAATAAAAAATATTATTTTAACCTCCCACCTTGATTTGGCACCTTGTGATTATCGAATCACCGTAACTGGCAATATATTATTAAAATATTAATACTTTAACAATTATAATATTGTTATTTTTACATTTAACTTATGTTTTCAATCATCGAAGTTTTGAGCAGTTGTAGAGGTGAAGAGTACACGTGTGAGTGTGCATGCAATGTAATTGAAGTTGAAGGCTGTGAATATAACTATAGACGAGGTAGAGAAGCTTTGGATCTTATCAGAGGGTTAAAGTATAAGCGGGAAGGTTGATAATGATGAGTAGAGTCGAGAAAACGAGTTGAGTTTACGAACTAGCTCGTTCAACTTGTAAATTTTAATGAGTTGAGTTAAAAAAATTAGCTCATTTTTTAAAATAGGTTGGACTAATTTAACCCGCAAAAATGATAGGTTAAAACAAGTTGTCCCGTAGGTTAGCTTATTTTTAAAAAAAAAATTATTTTTTTCAACCATAATATATCTTCTTATAAATTTACAATAATAATTATATTTCTCAAATTTATAATTTGAGTCTCAATTATGTTCTTTACATTTAAAAGATAATGTAAATCTTTCTTATAATTTGCAAATGAAATTTTTATTATAGTTTGTAAATTAATTATTTCTTAGTTTTTATAAAAATATTTTGAATATATATTATTTGTTAATCTCATAAGATTTATCGATTGAAATTACAAATATAAATTCGTTGATAAAAATAATTTAGATTTATATTCAAATTTTATTTTAAAAAATAAAATGAGAAAAATCATTATCTATGTATATGATATATTGATTATAATTTTAAAAAATAAAATCATATTTTGTAGGTTGGCCCGCAGGCTCACTAGCATGTTAATATATAGATTGGATTGAGTTTTTCTAACTTGTTTATCTTGACGGGTTAGCCCAATCCAACTCACTAATGCAGTAACCTGAGCAGCCTAGCTCGCGAACTAGCTCATAACCTGTTTGCACAGCTCTAATGATGAGGAACAAGGACCAGATATTGTGTATAGTTCTTTTATTTGTCTTTTTTATTATTTTCAAGTGGCAGAAGCATGCATGCATATTTATATTTAAAGGTTGTTTAGTTGTTAAAAAATATAAGAATGGAATGCATTAAAAAAATAAAAATAAAAATAAACCAATTAAAATGTAGATAAGAGATAAATCAACTATGTTCATTGTTCATAAAGAAAAGAATAATTTAATTTATAAAATTGAGAATCATAATTCATGAGATTTGTGATGATTATGATGATTCTCACATTTGTAATGTGTAGTATTAGGTTTTATCATGGTTATTGTAAAAAAAGGATAATTTAGTTTAATTTTATTTTAATTTTTTTAATTCATTTTATTTTCATCCTATTTAACAGTCAAACAAGCCTTCAATTTTTTTTTTGTTCTATATAAAGAAGCATAGTTATACTTAAATAAATTTTGATGGATAAACAAGGTTTGTTAGGTCCAATATCACTTATAAATTTGTAGTCCAAATAGTTGGTCCAAAATTAATATAGCCCACCTTAAAGCAGTCATCTTGCAGTTATCTTTCATTATACATCTTTTAAGAACCATTGATTTTGTGTCAAAAAAAAGAAGAAGAAGAAGAAGAACCATTGATAATCTAATAGACACTTGTCATGTCACTTAAGCACCAAGTTTCAAATTTGACTTTCTATGAATACCTGTTTGGATTGAGGACTTAATCGATTTTAAGGGCAAAAAAATCGATTAAGCCATAATTTACCCAAACACCCACTTTTTTCTAAAATTGATTTTTTCCCAAAAAATTGATTTTTTCCCAACACTCCAAATCTCAACTTCTCCACTTCTGCGTGTTTTTGTTACAAAGTTATATAAGTAAATTACATAAAAAGTCCAAGAAAAAAATCACAAAAAAGGCAGAAAATTTAATAAAACTAAAACAAAACTTTTTTCTCTTCTTTTTTTTCTTAATAAAATTTGAATCTTTAAAAAATTATTAGCATGAGTATCCAAACAGATTGCGTTTTAACATAATCAATTATGATTAAAATCTACCACTTAATCAATTATTTTCATAATCTATTATATCCAACTGAAATCCAAACGAACCCGTAACATAAAGTGATAAAACACTTCTAAAAGAATTATTTTCAATTAGACCCAATAATATTTAAATTTGATTCAATCCAATAATTATATAAAAAAGTAAGAACCATTGATAATTCAATAGTTTCAATTGTAGATAAAATATATAATATTCAAATATGGCTTTTAAATTGTAATTGAATTTTATATTTGTATATGTGTAAATTGATAATTACAACTCATTCTTTAAAAAAATTATTAAACACCTAATCGTCATTAATTTAATTTGTTTGGGACTCAATTATAATTACTTCAAAAGAAAAAGCAATGGTCCCAAACAAAGAAGAGGGAACCAAAAAGATAAATTTGTCCTAGCCCAACCCAGGAAGATATAATATTGAATGGTCCCAAACAAACCAGAATCATCCACTTGTTTGAGAGTCAACATGGAGGAATGAATGAAGAAATTGCAGAGCCAAATATCAGTAACACAAAACAGTTATTCTTTTTATTTTTTGTTGTTTTTCTTTTTAATGCAATGGCTATGGCATACACAAGAAGTCATGTGTTGAGGGGAAAAAACTAACTACCAGGCATAACAGCTAACAACAAATAAATGCAACCAAGAGCTGTATACAACAAGCAGGACTCACATTATAAAAGTTAGTATCTATATGTTTGTGATAACACATGATCATCATAATCTATTTTCTCTAATTTCTTTTAGGTTATATTTGGATTGATGGATTTAAATTTGAATTTTAAATTTAAAATCTTACATACCAAATCTCACATTTAAAATGCATGTATTTAAAATTCTTTATCTGGCTTGTTTAAAAGATTTCAAATGAAAAAGAGATTTAAATGAGTTGAAATTCAAAACAAAAATAAAAAATTAGAAGTGATAAACTTACCTCTATTTTTTAATCGATGAGTGATTAGAATAAGAGATAAAAAAATATGTGAGAGTTACAGAAGCATTACTAGTAGAAATACAAAGATAACAAAAGGCTTGAAATGATAGAAATTTCAAATGACTAGAGTATATAGCAAATTTAAAATTATAAAAAAATAATAAAAAATGGATTCAAATCCAAATACTTAAATTTTTATATATTCAAATGAGAAATTTGATTTAAATCAAATAGTCATTAATCCAAACACACTATGAAATATTGATGAGAAGCTTATTCTTAAAATGAAGTAGAATACAAAAGTCAAAAACAATATTGTTTCCATTTTTTTATTCCATACAGTTAAACAAACCAATTTAAAAAAAAAAAGAGCAAGCTAGATGAAAATAAGATATGCTACTCATTATCATATATTTGTAGGGAGGGGCATTTTTTTTTGTCTGCTCAATAAATTCATCATATACTAAATATTTCTTTTTTTTCCTTAAGAATTTTTGGAATTCATAACTTTTAAATGTAATTAAAGGTCTTAAAAATATTGAAGTATCATCTTCTCACAAGTAATTGTCCTAATTAACTTGCAGCGTTTCTTTTCTTTGAATCACATCAGTCACATACTCACATTTAATAGTAGTTTATGCCGTTGGGATAA